TACCTTTATTAATGGCACCTGTTTGAACTTGTTATCAATATAAAAGACACCTGTCCACAACCTCAAACAGTCACACTCCGAACTCCACTATGGCCAAGACCAATGAGCTGTCAAAGGACACCAGAAACAAAATTGTAGACCTGCACCAGGCTGGGAAGACTGAATCTGCAATAGGTAAGCAGCTTGATTTGAAGAAATCAACTGTGGGAGCAATTATTAGGAAATGGAAGACATACAAGACCACTGATAATCTCCCTCGATCTGGGGCTCCACGTAAGATCTCACCCCTTGGGGTCAAAATGATCACAAGAACGGTGAGCAAAAATCCCAGAACCACACGGGGGGACCTAGTGAATGACCTGCAGAGAGCTGGGACCAAAGTAACAAAGCCTACCATCAGTAACACACTACGCCGCCAGGGACTCAAATCCTGCAGTGCCAGACGTGTCCCCCTGCTTAAGCCAGTACATGTCCAGGCCCGTCTGAAGCTTGCTAGAGTGCATTTGGATGATCCAGAAGAGGATTGGGAGAATGTCATATGGTCAGATGAAACCAAAATAGAACTTTTTGGTAAAAACTGAACTCGTCGTGTTTGGAGGACAAAGAATGCTGAGTTGCATCCAAAGAACACCATACCTACTGTGAAGCATGGGGGTGGAAACATCATGCTTTGGGGCTGTTTTTCTGCAAAGGGACCAGGACGACTGATCCGTGTAAAGGAAAGAATGGGGCCATGTATCGTGAGATTTTGAGTGAAAACCTCCTTCCATCAGCAAGGGCATTGAAGATGAAACGTGGCTGGCTCTTTCAGCATGACAATGATCCCAAACACACCGCCCGGGCAACGAAGGAGTGGCTTCGAAGAAGCATTTCAAGGTCCTGGAGTGGCCTAGCCAGTCTCCAGATCTCAACCCCCATAGAAAAATCTTTGGAGGGAGTTGAAAGTCTGTGTTGCCCAGCGACAGCCCCAAAACATAATTTGCAAATAAATTCATTAAAAATCCTACAATGTGATTTTCTTTTCTCAATTTGTCTGTCATAGTTGACGTGTACCTATGATGAAAATTACAGGCCTCTCTCATCTTTTTAAGTGGGAGAACTTGCACAATTGGTGGCTGACTAAATACTTTATTCCCCCACTGTATATATATAGTGGGGGAATAAAGTATTTAGTCAGCCACCAATTGTGCAAGTTCTCCCACTTAAAAAGATGAGAGGCCTGTAATTTTCATCATAGGTACACGTCAACTATGACAGACAAATTGAGAAAAAAAATCCAGAAAATCACATTGTAGGATTTTTAATGAATATATTTGCAAATTATGGTGGAAAATAAGTATTTGGTCAATAACAAAAGTTTCTCAATACTTTGTTATATACCCTTTGTTGGCAATGACACAGGTCAAACGTTTTCTGTAAGTCTTCACAAGGTTTTCACACACTGTTGCTGGTATTTTGGCCCATTCCTCCATGCAGATCTCCTCTAGAGCAGTGATGTTTTGGGGCTGTCGCTGGGCAACACGGACTTTCAACTCCCTCCAAAGATTTTCTATGGGGTTGAGATCTGGAGACTGGCTAAGCCACTCCAGGACCTTGAAATGCTTCTTACGAAGCCACTCCTTTGTTGCCCGGGCGGTGTGTTTGGGATCATTGTCATGCTGAAAGACTCAGCCACGTTTCATCTTCAATGCCCTTGCTGATGGAAGGAGGTTTTCACTCAAAATCTCACGATACATGGCCCCATTCTTTCCTTTACACGGATCAGTCGTCCTGGTCCCGTTGCAGAAAAACAGCCCCAAAGCATGATGTTTACACCCCCATGCTTCACAGTAGGTATGGTGTTCTTTGGATGCAACTCAGCATTCTTTGTCCTCCAAACACGACGAGTTGAGTTTCTACCAAAAACTTCTACTTTGGTTTCATCTGACCATATGAAATTCTCCCAATCCTCTTCTGGATCATCCAAATGCACTCTAGCAAACTTCAGACGGGCCTGGACATGTACTGGCTTAAGCAGGGGGACACGTCTGGCACTGCAGGATTTGAGTCCCTGGCGGCGTAGTGTGTTACTGATGGTAGGCTTTGTTACTTTGGTCACAGCTCTCTGCAGGTCATTCACTAGGTCCCCCCGTGTGGTTCTGGGATTTTTGCTCACCGTTCTTGTGATCATTTTGACCCCACGGGGTGAGATCTTGCGTGGAGCCCCAGATCGAGGGAGATTATCAGTCGTCTTGTATGTCTTCCATTTCCTAATAATTGCTCCCACAGTTGATTTCTTCAAACCAAGCTGCTTACCTATTGCAGATTCAGTCTTCCCAGCCTGGTGCAGGTCTACAATTTTGTTTCTGGTGTCCTTTGACAGCTCTTTGGTCTTGGCCATAGTGGAGTTTGGAGTGTGACTGTTTGAGGTTGTGGACAGGTGTCTTTTATACTGATAACAAGTTCAAACAGGTGCCATTAATACAGGTAACGAGTGGAGGACAGAGGAGCCTCTTAAATTCTCAAATTGTCTGTCATAGTTGACGTGTACCTATGATGAAAATTACAGGCCTCTCTCATCTTTTTAAGTGGGAGAACTTGCACAATTGGTGGCTGACTAAATACTTTTTTTCCCCACTGTATATACACACACAAATATTACACACACTCCACATAAGCCAATACATTGCTCATCCAATTGACAGCCTTTAATACAATACACATTCAACAAGGACAAAGGTTTTGAAAAAGCACAACTGCTTTATTTTTTCTCTAAATAAGGAAAGGGCGAATATGATCGCATATCTGAAAAGATAAACATCAGGTAGGATAAATAGACCGTATGATCAGTTCCAGAATGCACTGGTCCTCTGACAAATGAAATACGTATCCTAAAAGTACCAACAAAAAAAGCATCAGGGCGATATCTTGGTGTAGGTACAGTAATGAGTGAAGACGAGAGAAGGCGGAAACTAAATGCAGTTCCTCAGGTGTGTATAAGCCGTTTCAGTGTACACCTTCCAGTCTCTGTCCAAAAACTGACAGGGTCCTGTCACAGCAAAAAGCACAGAAGAGAGGGGCAAAAAGCCATCACAACGTCCAATAAGCCAGTCCACCCTGTGAGAACATCATAGTGACCATTTATCCTTTGATTTGTGATACAATATATGAATCAAACATACGTTTTTAGACTCCCACCCTCCCCGACCGACCGTAACTCTGAATATAGTTGAACAGGTATGCATCATGTACAGACGTCAGTGAAACACTGCCATAAAGATGAGTCTGAACATTTTGTAGTGTCATGGATCATTAATACGCAGTAACATTTATAACCAGTTATGACATTGGAATATTACGTTTCAAAATGAGTGACTTTTTTTTTATCACAGATGATGCCAACAGTTCATATTTTTAAACAAAACAGAAATGCTTTAATATTCCTTCTTCAGGGAGCCCAAAACAACTGCAGCGTTCACAAAAAACCTACGCAAAGAAAGTACATTAATTCATCAAGCAATTCTAAACTCTGTTGTCATGAAATTGTAACATAAAAATATATTTGGACCCTGATTGAGAGTTATAGTTAGGCTGCGTTTATTGCTAGCGCCACCCCAGAGATCTTACATGGTGCTGAATGTTCACTAGGGAGGTGTGCCTACTCATTATTTCACTAACCTCTCCTCCTTTCCATCGAGTTGTTAAAAAAGAAAAATACAGAAAAGTGTTTAATAGGTCTAGGAGCAAAAGCAAAAACACTCTAGGAGAGGGAATATAAAATCACTTGACATGTATCAGATGTGAATTCAGATTTCAGCTATTCATTTCAATCAGCTATTGGGATCATACAGTAAGTCAATGAAGCCTGTCGTCACTCCCAAACACTATAGATACCCCTCACTCCCCAACACTATAGAATAAACCACATTTTTTGCCAGCTCGGTTGATCAAAACCACACACTACAACAGCAGTGTCCGCTGACTTTTGAAATGTTGCGATAGGATCCTGGATTAGGCCCTACGATTATCACACATTCAGCACATCACATGCACACACTGCATCAACGCTAGGATAGCTTCAAATGAGGCAAGATGATTTCTCTAAAATGTCCTAGTTTTTGCTTCTGTTTACAAAACACATGAGCGACAGAAAAAAAGCAAATAAACAGCCTTTTAAAAATAACAAACATTTTCTAAAAATCTAAGCAGTTTTGTCACAGTTCACGAGCTGTGTGAAGTACCCCAGGGGTCTCTCAGGGCGACACGCCCTGGTTCACACATTTCCATGTTTACACACAATGATGTCCTTAAAATGAGGGTTTGAAGTCCTTTAATAACAGAGCAAATAGGCAAATACTTTTTTAAATATTATTTTTAGATTAAAACTCCACAGTTACCAGCAAAAAAAAAAAAAAAAGTGGGGGAAAGGACACGTTTTTTTTAACGCTTACAGATTTGCTTTCTTGTGCTGACATGTCAAGTGTCTGCCTCTTCTACTGGGGTATAGTCCAAAAAAGTACAGTTTGGCAAAAAAGGGGTGAACTAGGAGAGTGAACTGTCTGCAGGAGCTGTTCGTTTCCTTTTTTGGATACAGAGCAACACAGAAAACGTGAATTTATTTTCTATTTTTTTTGTTACCATTCTTCTCTCGAAAAGGACAATGTTAATAAATAAGGAGGACCTTGAAGAGTCTGCTTAGAGGAGTGTCCCAAACTATTGTGTCTATGTATATATATATTTATATATATATATTTATATATCTCTATACGTGGTGTTTAATAATAATAATAATAATAATAATAGTGTCCGGTTCTGACAGTTCGGGGAGTTGGTGGAGTATGCCTGCCTGCTCCTCAGTTTGGCGCCCGATCTGGGGGTTGGCGATAGAAGGCTGAGAGGTGGGCTGAGAGAGGGTGCAGGGGGTTGTGTCTTCCAGAGGCAGGTTGGGTGGAGGTTAAAAGGTGGTTTAAGGTCCTTTGCCATGCCTTGCCCTCCACTTTGACAGCCTGGGGTTTGATGGCTCAGGTGCATGGTGCTGGTTTACCCTGCCAGCCGGGAAGGGACTCCTGGAGTTTGCTGGTCATCAGGCCCCACGACAGCGCCTTCCCCTCACCCACCAGCTGGCGCCCATCTCGCAGGGCTTTACTCTAAAACACGAGAAACGCAAGGTTATCATTTCATATAGTTTTCAAATGGACAACAAAAACAATAACACTAATGTCACAAGGGAGGGAAATAGTTAAAACAATCACATTTCAAAACAGTCTAATAGCAAGAATTGGACACCATTAGGGAAAAAAGCTATTATCAAGCATCAGTTTATTTGCTACAAGTATTATGCACTGGAGAAGATTAATAATTTTTTTGTGTAACATAAACCGCTGGAACATTTGAACACATTCAAAGGAAAATCCAGTGCAATCACGTATGAACTGATTGCTGTGTATTATCAACATGACCCTCTTGCATCCAAATTGTAAATATTAGAGGTAAATATGTATGATATTTGATTTTCAGCATATATTTGTAGCCTACAACATTTGCTTTGTGCATTTAATTGTGATCATGTACTGATTTGTGATTTTCTGTGATAACATTTGCTTTGTGCGTCTAATTTTGACAATGTACTGATATGGGATTTCATGTGATATTTGTTTTGTGCATATGTGATAATGCACTGATATGTGATTTTATGTGATTAACTATGTATTTATTTCCTTTTGTTTCCATAAATGAAAATTAATTAAATTAACGTAAGCTAGAAACACTTGTGCAATGCATCGGATGATTGATTGTTCGATGTCTTTGTACTTGTCCCTATCCAAATAATAATACAAATATACCAGTAAATGATACTATGTGCCTACAAGATTAGGCTACCTACAGTGGGGGAAAAAAGTATTTAGTCAGCCACCAATTGTGCAAGTTCTCCCACTTAAAAAGATGAGAGAGGCCTGTAATTAGGTACACGTCAACTATGACAGACAAAATGATTTTTAAAAAATCCAGAAAATCACATTGTAGGATTTTTTATGAATTTATTTGCAAATTATGGTGGAAAGTAAGTATTTGGTCAATAACAAAAGTTTATCAATACTTTGTTATATACCCTTTGTTGGCAATGACACAGGTCAAACGTTTTCTGTAAGTCTTCACAAGGTTTTCACACACTGTTGCTGGTATTTTGGCCCATTCCTCCATGCAGATCTCCTCTAGAGCAGTGATGTTTTGGGGCTGTCGCTGGGCAACACAGACTTTCAACTCCCTCCAAAGATTTTCTATGGGCTTGAGATCTGGAGACTGGCTAGGCCACTCCAGGACCTTGAAATGCCTCTTACGAAGCCACTCCTTCGTTGCCCGGGCGGTGTGTTTTGGGATCATTGTCATGCTGAAAGACCCAGCGACGTTTCATCTTCAATGCCCTTGCTGATGGAAGGAGGTTTTCACTCAAAATCTCACGATACATGGCCCCATTCATTCTTTCCTTTACACGGATCAGTCGTCCTGGTCCCTTTGCAGAAAAACAGCCCCAAAGCATGATGTTTCCACCCCCATGCTTCACAGTAGGTATGGTGTTCTTTGGATGCAACTCAGCATTCTTTGTCCTCCAAACACGACGAGTTTAGTTTTTACCAAAAAGTTCTATTTTGGTTTCATCTGACCATATGACATTCTCCCAATCCTCTTCTGGATCATCCAAATGCACTCTAGCAAACTTCAGACGGGCCTGGACATGTACTGGCTTAAGCAGGGGGACACGTCTTGCACTGCAGGATTTGAGTCCCTGGCGGCGTAGTGCGTTACTGATGGTAGGCTTTGTTACTTTGGTCCCAGCTCTCTGCAGGTCATTCACTAGGTCCCCCCGTGTGGTTCTGGGATTTTTGCTCACCGTTCTTGTGATCATTTTGACCCCACGGGGTGAGATCTTGCGTGGAGCCCCAGATCGAGGGAGATTATCAGTGGTCTTGTATGTCTTCCATTTCCTAATAATTGCTCCCACAGTTGATTTCTTCAAACCAAGCTGCTTACCTATTGCAGATTCAGTCTTCCCAGCCTGGTGCAGGTCTACAATTTTGTTTCTGGTGTCCTTTGACAGCTCTTTGGTCTTGGCCATAGTGGAGTTTGGAGTGTGACTGTTTGAGGTTGTGGACAGGTGTCTTTTATTCTGATAACAAGTTCAAACAGGTGCCATTAATACAGGTAACGAGTAGAGGACAGAGGAGCCTCTTAAAGAAGGTCTGTGAGAGCCAGAAATCTTGCTTGTTTGTAGGTGACCAAATACTTATTTTCCACCATAATTTGCAAGTAAATTCATAAAAAATCCTACAATGTGATTTTCTGGATTTTGTTTTCTCAATTTGTCTGTCATAGTTGACGTGTACCTATGATGAAAATTACAGGCCTCTCATCTTTTTAAGTGGGAGAACTTGCACAATTGGTGGCTGACTAAATACTTTTTCCCCCCCACTGTATGTCTATGAGCACCATTTGATTAAAAACAGCTCCCTAGGTAAGTTTAAAGACAAATTCATCTTGTGATCAAAGAAATTGTACCTCAGGTACCACATTACTGGTTATAACTCAATATTTTCATTATGAATTACAATAGTTCATAGCAGTGCATCCAGTTGAGTTCATTCAGAGCCATATATAGAAAGTTCAGGCCAACTTTAACAACTAGACAATAGTTGCTTCTTGACAGACATGGAGAGTTGAGGTGCTGACAGTGGCGATTGACACCACGACACCTGTTAACAAATCAAATTGAGGTCATAATCAACGGAAATCTACCATCTTTGACAGAAATGGCAACTACCAAACTCTCCATATATGGCTCTGATTACATACATTTGCACATTGGATTGGACTGAAGAAAAACAAAAAACGAAATGGATAAAAATCTAATTACCTATATTTACAGTGGGTGGCTCACCTTCATGCCATCCTCCGGCCCCTTGATGGGGGGCTCGGGGGCTGAGGGGGGGGTGGAGTGGGGGGGCTCGCGCCCGGGATTGGGGTAAGGGGGGGAGCGGATGATGACTGTCTTGTTGACCTGCATGACAGGTCTCTGGATGGGGGTGGGGAAGGGGCCGGTGGTGGGGGGACGCATGTGCATAACCATGCTGCCCTGGGGAGGGGGAACCTGGTGGGGGGGGGGGGGGGGGGGGGGGACACGCACACTGTTAGCATGGCAACACGTCTCAGTATATATGCATGGTTATCTTTCTTTAGGCAAATATTGAGGGGGTTGCGGAGATGTGTGCAAAGCTGTAAATATTTTCCACAGACAGAATTCCTAAATAAAATTGCTTTATGCTTGTGACTCAAACGTACACTAAGGTCTTGAGTGGCCGTTGTGCCATTGTGTGAGAGCAGTTCAGGGTAGCTGCATGTCAAAACTGATTAGTCATTAAAATGGTGCAACAACATCACAGTGATTTGAACAAGCAGAATGATTGAGTGTGTGAGGTTTCTATAACCTTGCCGTGGAGGGGGCACAGCAGGGCCTCAAACCAGCCGGTGGCTGGGTCTCTGTAGCAGCAACTACAGGTCAGGCCAGGGCCACTGCAAGCCCAGCCTCGCTGCTGAACGGCCTGCATGGAGGTCGTCTTCTGTTTCCAATGAAATGGGAGGGGGAGGCTATATGAGTGTGTATGGGCAGCTGGGATTGTGTGTCAGGACCGTTTGTGTGTGTGTGTGTGTGTGTGTGTGTGTGTGGTGGGGGCGTGCCCGCTACTGTAAGAGCCTGTAAAAGTGCCTGTAAAATTGTGTTTGTGTGTATGAAAGTGTGTGAAATGGACTGGAGGACCTTGATTGTTGGTTGACCTTGTTGTTGATTGTAGAGTGTGAACAGTAACTAGTACTAACAAGGTGCGTGTATGTACCTAATGTGTGTATGACTATGTGTTGGTTCATACCTGCTGGGTGTAATGCCCAGGCAGAGGGCCAGACTGCTTCCCACTGGGGCTGGCAGACCCTGGTCTGAGGGGAGAGAGAGGGAAAGAGATAGATTTACCATTAGCTTCCAATTACACTTTAATGCCATTATATGATCACTAAATGTTTGTTTAAGTAAATATTTTACTGGCAGCGAACCATGTAGAATCCTTTGGCATGTTACAATCAAATGGACACGTTTATAAAGATATGAACTAAGAGTAGACGTTTTGTGATCTAACATAAGTTTCAGGGTGACATTTAGCGGTTCCAGCTCACCTGTTGTATCCTCCAGGCATGCCCTGGCTGTGATTGGGCTTGTCAGAGAACTGGAAGCCTTTCATTTCCATCTGGGAGGTCTGGAGAAGGACAACAAACAAACATCCACATTAAATATACAAGTAAGAACATCTCAATGCCATCTATGAAATGTTGTGGCATTAAAGTGATAGTTCACCCAAATGCCAAATTCACTACAGTTGTTCCTTACCTTGTAAGTAGTATACGGACCAGCAGACATTGGGAAATTCTGAAAAAAATTCAAGTAATTTTGTAATTTAGGTGAACTATCCCTTCTATTTCAAAGGGATGGGTTTCACTACATTCAATGTGCATTTTTGTTTGTTTATACATTAAATGTTTCCAAATCCGACCTAAAGCTAATATTTACCAATCAATAGGGTAGTTAAGCTGTAACATTGTTGGAAGAGACACTTGGTGGGTCTGTGGAGCTCACCTCTCTGCTGCCGGTCATGACGGGGGGCTGGGAGCCAGGGGGGAGCATCCTGCGGGCGGCTCCCACGGAGAGGTTCTGGCCCTGCTGGAGCTGGATGGACTGGGGCAGGATGAGGTGCTGCTGGGCAGAGCCATAACGCAGCTGGGAGCCCGGCAGGGGCATGGTCACCTGGCGCAAGAGTGAGAGAGGATCATTGTTTTGGCCTTTAAAACATTGAATAAAGAGAGTTAAATGTTTCCATTAGAAGCCAAGCAAACTGTTTTCCTTCAAACTAATAGTGTGCCACCGACAGAGTTGCTCCCCTTACCTGGATGAGCTGGGAGTCCATGAGCTGGGAGGAGCCCATGCCAGGGCCCTGGTTCATCTGGCCGTCGTAGACCATGGCCTGGCTGCCGTTCATGGGCTGGTAGTGGGAGCCCGACTGAGGCTTGACCATGTCCGATGGCTGCATGCCCGGGAAGGCCGAATAGGGCCCCTTGAGGGGGCCACCGCCTGACAGCACCATGGGGTTAGGCTGGGACAGATTGGGGTGCATGTACACCTGGGACCTGAAGGGGGGGATGGAGTTGAACATCTCCTGGGACTGGGAGACGGGAAGGCCTCCCCGGAGACCAAGTTGGGCCTGCAGAGAGGTGTGCAGGGAGATGGGGATCTGCTGGGCAGCAGCCGCTGCCTGCGTGCACACACAGGAAGGAGTGAATTATAATATTACAGTTTACTTTCCCCCCTCATTGGCACGTTTTCGTGACAAATTGGACATCATCACAAATTGCCATGCAAAATGCCATTACTGCCACAGCAAAATCAAGCATTTTGGCAACTACCACAAAAAATCCAAATCCAGGAGGGACTGATTATTGCCCAAAAGAAAAACGATATAAAGAAGAAAAATAATTGGAATAAAATCCTGTACAAGCCTATACTTGTACCTGTTGGTAGCTCTGCTGCTGGGTCATGGTTGGGGGCACCAGACGAGGCTGGCTGGGAAAGACATGGCCGTCCAGATACAGCGGGGGGACATGGTTACCTACAGAGATGGAAATACAATTGTTATTTCAAAGTTATAAATAATAATAATGCACAGATGTACATTTCATACAATGTACAATGCAGAGTCTTGGGCAACTATAGCAATAATGTCTATGTTAATGTGTCTGAGTGTCCTCTTACCCTGCATGGACATGGAAGGCGCCACGGAGGCCACGGGCATGGGGGGCATGGACACCCCTCCGAAAGAGCTGTAGCTGACCCCGCTGGAGGAGCCCACGCTGCAGGGGGGCTGGGCACCAGAGGCCCCCCCACCAGGAGAGCCCTGCTCGGGGAGAGATTGGGAGTTCTCCCATGCCTTACGGGCCGACTCCATCTGAGGAAGAGGGGACGAAGGGAGGGAAATGCTCAGTGAAAGTAAACTAATGTTTATTTGATCTAATCTTTACTTAGCCAGGTAGGTACAGTTGAAGTCAGAAGCTTACATACACCTTAGCCAAATACATTTTTCACAATTCCTGACATTTAATCCTAGTAAGAATTCCCTGTCTTAGGTCAGTTAGGATCACCACTTTATTTTAAGAATGTGAAATGTCAGAATAATAGTAGAGAGAATGATTTATTTCAGCTTTTATTTCTTTCATCACATTCCCAGTGGGTCAGAAGTTTACATACACTCAATTAGTATTTGGTAGCATTGCCTTTAAATTGTTTAACTTGGGTCAAACGTTTTGGGTAGCCTTCCACAAGCTTCCCACAATAAGTTGGGTGAATTTTGGCTCATTCCTCCTGACAGAGCTGGTGTAACTGAGTCAGGTTTGTAGGCCTCCTTGCTCGCACACGCTTTTTCAGTTCTGCCCACACATTTTCTACATGATTGAGGTCAGGGCTTTGTGATTGCCACTCCAATACCTTGACTTTGTTGTCCTTAAGCCATTTTGCCACAACTTTAGAAGTATGCTTGGGGTCATTGTCCATTTGGAAGACCCATTTGCGACCAAGCTTTAACTTCCTGACTGATGTCTTGAGATGTTGCTTCAATATATCCACATAATTTTCCTTCCTCATGATGCCATCTATTTTGTGAAGTGCACCAGTCCCTCCTGCAGCAAAGCAACACTACAGCATGATGCTGCCACTCCTGCGCTTCACAGTTGGGATGGTGTTCTTCGGCTTGCAAGCTCCCCCTTTTTCCTCCAAACATAACGATGGTCATTATGGCCAAACAGTTCTATTTTTGTTTCATCAGACCAGAGGACATTTTTCCAAAAAGTACGATCTTTGTCCCCATGTGCAGTTGTAAACTGTGGTCTGGCTTTTTTTAGCCGGTTTTGGAGCAGTGGCTTCTTCCTTGCTGAGCGGCCTTTCAGGTTATGTCGATATAGGACTCGTTTTACTGTGGATATTGATACTTTTGTACCCGTTTCCTCCAGCATCTTCACAAGGTGTTCTGGGATTGATTTGCACTTTTCGGACAAAAGTACATTCATCTCTAAGAGACAGAACGTGTCTCCTTCCTGAGCGGTATGACGACTGCGTGGTCCCATGGTGTTTATACTTGCGTACTATTGTTTGTACAGATGAACATGGTACCTTCAGGCGTTTGGAAATTGCTCCTAAGGATGAACCAGACTTGTGGAGGTCTACCATTTTTTTTTCTGAGGTCTTAGCTGATTTCTTTTGATTTGCACATGATGTCAAGCAAAGAGGCACTGAGTTTGAAGGAGGGCCTTGAAATACATCCACAGGTACACCTCCAATTGACTCAAATTATGTCAATTAGCCTTTCAGAAGCTTCTAAAGCCATGACATCATTTTCTGGAATTTTCCAAGCGGTTTAAAGGCACAGTTAACTTAGTGTACTTCTGACCCACTGGAATTGTGATGCAGTGAATTATAAGTGAAATAATCTGTCTGTAAAGAATTGTTGGAAAAATTACTTGTGTCATGCACAAAGTAGATGTCCTAACCGACTTGCCAAAACTATAGTTTGTTAACAAGAAATTTGTGGAGTGGTTGAAAAACAAGTTTTAATGACTCCAACCTAAGTGTATGTAAACCTCCGACTTCAACTGTAACTGAGAATGACATTTCTTTAACAAGATTAGTGTTTAGAGATGTCTGGAGTGTGGAGAGTGTGAGGCAGTGGGGTGTGTACCTTGAGTGTGAGGTCAGCGCTGGGGAAAGAGATGGGGTTGAGGTTGATGCCAGGCTGCAGGTGGTCTCTACGCAGCATGGGAATGGCTTGGGTCAGGGCCGGCTACCCACACAAAGGTTATTAACACATCAACAACTAGCCGATTACATATTTTGTCCATTTTACATCTCAATTATGATATTTATTTCATCAAGCACTTGAAGGATTTATTTTAATAGCCCACCCTATAATCATGAGGTGACAATGGGAACCCAGTAGAACTCAGTGTATCTGTACTCACGTTGCTGGCGAGGGCGTCCTGCAGCTTGGTGACAGGGTTGGACACAGGCACTGGGGTGGAACCGGGTGGCAGGCTAAAGTCAGAGTCCTTGGCGCTCACACCAAACTCGATGGGTGGCACGGGCAGCACCGTGTCCACGTGGAGGTCCACGCCGTTGACGGGCGTGATGGGCCTCCCCTCCAGACGCTCCACACCCTCTGAGCCCTTGCGGTGCTTGAGTGAACGCTCGTTGCCGATGGGGCCGGGCTTGTGCTGCTCCTTGCTCTGCTCAGGCCCCGCATCAGAGTCCTCAGAGTTGGGCTCGCTGCCTGTGAAGGAGACCTGCTTGGTCCACGAGTCCCCTCCAGATGACTGGACTGACAGAGCTGAGGGAAGGAATAGAACAATGTAAGAACCACTGTATTATGCTATACAGTTGACAGCACAAGAATGTTGACAACACAAGAATGTTCCTTTGTAGTTTGGAGGCAAAAGTAGAGTTTGGGTAACAGAGTAAGTTACTCTCAGTTATCAGATGGGGTGGAAGATGAAGTGTGTGAAGGCTGGGGTGTTGCCCGTACTCCTACCTGAGCTGTTAGTCTCCCAGATCTCTGTGCCCAGGTTGTTGGCAGAGAGTCCCTCTTCTGGCTGATCCATGGTCATGCCACCCTGCTTCTTGGCAAACCGCGGGGGCATCTTGGAGGTGATCGGTCTGTTCTTTACTGGAACCTGCAGTGTGGCAAAGGAATACTTTTTTTTCATAGATTAAGTACAACACAGCACCTCATGTCATGTACAACTATACTTACCATAATATACGATTGAGATATACTGCACTGTTGGAGCTAGAAACACAAGCATTTCGCTACACCCGCAAAAGCATCTGCTAAACATGTGTATGTGACAAATAAAAATTGATTTGAGATATTTATGAAAAAACACAGTATGTTGTTTGACTCCATTTGAAATTATTTAGATTTTACTCATTTACATTTTACTCATTTAGCAGACGCTCTTATCCAGAGCGACTTACAGTTAGTGAGTGCATACATTTTCATACTCAAAACTGGGTCTATTATCTAGACACCCAAAGCTCTTCTGCCGATTGTTACAGATTTATTTAAAAATGTTTCAGGCTTATTTGAATGTTCTGTCAACTTACCGGAGCTCCTTGTTCCTTTCTCCTCCTGTCGTCTTCCTGTGGGCGCCGCTGCTGTTTCTTGGACAGGTCTTGGAACCCGTCTGGACTAGGACCCCCAGAATCCCCCTCAACTGGAAGACACGTTTGCCACATTAAATCAGTCTGTGGGCCGCATCTGGCCCACGGGCCACCAGTTTGAGACCCCTGGTTTAGATTTAATTTGAGCCGTGCTTTAATATGACTAATGTATGTGTTTCTATGAGGTTGGTGCCTGGCATACTCACTGGGGTAGCTGTTGAGGTCGTACTGGTTCAGTGGTTTGACCATGTCTCCCTTCACAGACCTGGGCTTCAGCTCCTTGTCCAGCTTCTTCCCCGAGGGTTCGTTGGGCTGGTGGCCCTCCTCAGACTGCTCAACATTGTAGACTTGGCCTGACTCCTCTGGGCTCCTGCTGGAAGAAGGGAGATACATTCCATAAGTCAGGTGTTACCATTTAAACATATTACTATGCGAAAGTGTTGCTAAGGGTTGTTTTTAAAAGCTACAGTATATTGATGCCTTGACGATGTTTTGAAACAATAGGTCAAGAAAAAACTATATCAACAGTTTTGTTGAATGTTCTCGCACCAAGTTAGCATAAGCCAAAGTTAGCACAGTACTCACCTATTATGGTTGGAGGACCCTCCGTTCTGCCAGCCGTCGTTCCTGTTGCAGGAGGGCAGAGCGTTAGGGTTCTCTGAGGAGCGTGTCATCTTGTTCCCCTCCAGCTCTCCCTTCCTGTTCTGCCGGTCCACCAGGGGGCGCTGGCTGGAGAAACTCCTCTTGGCCAGCTCCCTCTTTTCCCCAGACCCAGGCTCCCCGTGGCCTGAGTCTGAGTGCACATCTCCCCCGTGGGCCTGCTGCTGCTGCCCTCCACCACGCTTCTCCCTCCAGTCGCTGAAGTCGCTGTTCTCCGAGCCAGTCTCCCAGTCCTCCGCCTGGCCGTGCTGACCACCGGACCTCCCTCCCCCTCCGGAGTAGTGGCCACTGGGCCAGCCGTCCTCTTTACCTCCCTCCTTGGAGCGGCCCGGCCAGGGGTTGGCAAATCCTTCCGATCCGTTGATGTACTCGTCGCTGGTCCACTGGCCGCTGCCGGGCTCCCGCTCTTGACGTAGTCGGCGGAAGCGCGGGGGCTTGTCCTGGCGTGGCGGCCGCCTTCTTCTCAATGGCTGTTGTCCAGGGTTGTCGTTGTCTATGTAGTACTCGCCCTCCCCGCTGCGGTCCTCGGCACCGTTCTCCATGAAGGAACCAGTAGAGCCAGTAAACTTGGGGGTGTATTTGAAGGGCTCACGCTCTGCAGGTGGTGGAGGTCTCCTGGAGTAAGTCTCGGTGCCTGGGCCGTAGCCATTCTCCTGCATGGGCCCACCGCCACTGCCGAACTGAGTCCCCCGCCCCCTCCAGGTGGAGATGTCTCTGGAGCCGTTGTTGAACCCTCGGCTGGTGTTGTAGACCCTGCCAGTGTCGAGTCTGGGAGGCAGCGAGCGGCCGAAGCCTCCGAACCCCTTGCTGCTGGCTTTGGCCTTGTCGCGGGCGTCGCTGGCCGCCTGGTCTTCCGTGTACACCTTGTTGGACCTCCAAGAGTCTCGGTCGGCCTTCCTGGTCTCTCCCTGCTCTGGGTAGCTGCCACCCTCTCCATTTTCAGAGCCCTTCTGGCGCCGCCGCTTGGGCAGCTCCTCGTACTCTGAGGTCTCGCTCAGAGTCTCGCTGACGTTGCGCCTCCTCGGCTTCCCCCTCTGCAGGTCCTCCACCTTGACAAAGTCCCTGGGCAGTCCTCTGCCTCTGCCTGGTCTCTGGGCTCCAGTGGCGTCCCTGCTGTTGATATTGTTGTTGTAGCCTCCTCTGGGGTTCTCTCGGCCTCCCCGGCCACCACGGTCTCCTCTGGAACTGAACTCCCTGAAGCCACCACGGCTCCGACCTCTACCCGTTCCCCTGGCTCCGGCAAAGGCCTGCTCCTCATCGATGAAGATCCAGTTGTTGCGTCGTGGTGCACCAGGCTCCCTGCTCTCCTGGCTGTCTCTGGAGGACTGGCTCTTTCCGCTGTCCCAGCTGTTCTCCTTCGGCAAATCCTCACTGTGGGTACTGGCTGGCCGCTCTACTTTAGCAGGAGCTAGTAGTTGGTGTTGCTTCTCTTCTGGCTGCTTCTCAATAGCAGGCGAGGCCGAGCGTCTGTTACTTAGTAGGGGCTGGTTGTCTTTCTTCAGGTCATATACGTTGGTGAGCACCTCCTTTTCCAGGCGGTAAGGGACTACCTTCTCCTCAGGCTCCACTTTGGGCTTCTCGTTCTCCTTGTCCTCCACTTTGAGGGCCTTGAGCACAGGCTTCTTTATGGGACCGGTCCTGCGGGTCAGGGTCCTACCGCCGGTCTCAGAGGGCTGGCTTACACTGCTGGCAGGGGAGCTGGAGCCATGATCAGATCGCTGGTTCTGAACACCAACACTTTCCTTCTTCTGGCCTCCATCTCGCCTCCGGAAGTCTGAGTCAAAAACATTTTCTTTGGAGGTGTCGAAGACTTCGTTGCGGGGGTCAGTGCTGTCCTTCAGGTACCTGTCTTTGGGCTCCTGTTTGGGGTAGTCGCTGTCTGCGTGCTGCTGCTGCTGGGGCCGGCTCGGGGCTGTGGAGAGCAGGCCTTGGTCGTGCGGGTGGTGATCCCTGTCGGGGCCTTTGCTCTGTTGGTAGGCCTGATGGGAGAGGTCACCGGAGGGGTTGTCTAGGCACTCTTTGCCCCTCTCTTCGTACAAGTCCTGCTGGGAGCAGGTCCTGTCACTCCGGTCGTCTGGCTGGCTCCTGTCTGAGCTCTCGTGCTGTCTCTGGTAGGGTGGGGTGAAACTGCGAGGGGGGTAGCCATCTTGGTTCCACACAGGGTAGGGCTCGGTGGAGGGGGCCCTCCTCTCCTGATGCATGCTGGGATGGCAGCCCTCGTCAGAGGCGGACCCTGGGCTGTTCAGGTGGTCTGGCTGCATCATCGATTTCATAATTCCTACGCAAACACAGAGGGGTATTCTACAGTTAGAGATGATACAAATGCAGGATTATTTGGAGATCCATATCAGTCTATAAAGTTTAACCAAGATGTCACTACACTAAAAAGTGAATTAGGAAATCAAAATCAGGAAATTCATCATTCCCTTTAGTAAAACAATACTATTTTCTCAGGTTTCACCTGAAGAGTGGACAGCGTTGGGGTAGTAATCCACAGGGGAGAGGCCCTGGGCCATTCGGGGGTCCATGAAGGGGGGCATCATCATCCAGCGGGGGTCGAAGCCCAGCACGTGTGGGGGGTAGTACCCCCTCGGGGGGTGGCTGGAGCCAGAGGGGGCGGGGTGGCCAGACTGCTGCTGCTGCCAGTGCTGCATTTTATACACTTGGTCCTGAGAGGGGGAGGGGACGACACAGAGCATGAACCAATTATGTTTACACACTGGTACAATTATTCACCTCACATAAAAGTGACTAGATGCATTTAAAGAAGTGTACTATATGCAGCGAGTGGTTCTTTTCTGTTTTGTCAATTGCCTATTGCTGCGCATCCACAACATAACTAATTAAAACACTACACAACAGAATAAAACAAGCACACCCTTAGGCAACCTTCATTATACCCTCCCCTTTCCAGTCAGGGAGGTGGCAACCGTCGCTATGGAAAACACCTGCTCCTGTGAACTGACGGGCCTTTCTCAAGCCGCTAATCCTGTCAAGAATTAGGGAGGGGATTAGGAAATTAGGGGCTTGAGGGAAGGGGCTGCTGGGAAAGCATCAGATGGCATCGGCCGGGCGGCTCACCTGCTGCTGCTTTTGGAAGCGAGGAGGGAGGGGCTTGGAGGCCTGGTGGTTTGCGTAGTCAGGCAGGGGAGAGGTGGGCTCGGCCCCGCCATCGTCCTCACTGCGGTAGGGGGTGAAGCCCGAGGTGCCCTCTTCCCTGTAGTCCTGCTGGCCGGGGGAGTGCTCCGAGGGACACTCAGCGTCTGGGACAGGAGAGGAGAGGGACCGGGTTATAATCCCACTTTTACATAGCTACCCATGTTTCCAGTGTTGACATGTTCGCTGTTTTCCAGCCAAATTGGGCTACTTTGAAAATGATGTCGCAGGTGAAAATGCATTGGCCACGTGTTTTTTTTTTGGGGGGGGGGGGCTACTTCTAAATTGCACCGCGGCTGCCATGGCATTTCTCTTTTTTTTTTTTAAATATACAATTCACTGTGACCTGCTGCTGCTGACTATCAGGCAGTGAGCAAGCTGTTGCGTTGAGAGCACTGGTTGAGAGAGTGCTGCAGCAGAGGCAGCTGAGTCACGGAGACTGTGATTGTGTGATTGTGTTATCACTGGAGTGATTGCAAATCAATTTGTGCCACTTGTGTAGCCTACCTGGAGCTGGCAAACTGACTTAATAGCCTATAACTCAGTTTGTTGTTGTAAGCCTTGTGTTATTATGCAATTATTAATGGCCATGTTTAGTTAATTAAATTGGAAGTTATCAATTGTGATCATGGTCACAGCTCTATAGCAAATGTATCATTCTCCACATTTAATGTTTAATTGTGGACTTTTCCCTGAAATTAGATGTTGGCTTATCAGGGGCTATAGGCTACCTGCATCTAGCTCAGCAAACCATGGCAAAATTGAATTGCAATTATAAACCCAGATTTGAGTCAGTAGCTTATGCCTATTGAAATAAGACAATCTCACAAATTGGCCATTTATAATGGTTTGTAGTCTTAACATATGGCACATAATAACAGCACAGTTGACAGAAAATATAATTACAATTATAAACTGGGTGGTTTGAGCCTTGAATGCTGATTGGTTGAAAGCCATGGTATCTCAGACGTGTACAAGGGGAATGACAAAAATATACTTTTTACTGTTCTAATTACATTGGTTACCAGTTTACAATAGCAATAAGGCACCTCAGGGGTTTGTGGTATATGGCCAATATACCACGGCTATGGGCTATGTCCTAAGAACAGCCCTTAGCCATGGTATATTGGCCATATACCACACCTCCTTGGGCCTTATTGCTTAATCATAGCAGTCAAAACAAGTTAAATCGACATCCATTGATGGAAAAGGATCTGGAGAGTTTAATAAAGGCAATTTATATTTTCTCTTGCAACATATTCTAAAATCCGCAAAAATTATTATTTGGATGGAAAACCGAATTTAGCTTCTTAGCCTACGTAATTAAAAATGACGTCGTCGATATTCCTTCTTAATTTGCTGAATAACGTTATTGGAAAAGGGTTTATTGGATAAATGCGGCAACTCCTCTCTTGTTGCAAAACATTTTTGGGGCCTAGTTTTCAGGCCTTGTGGGCAGGTTTTCAGAGGTCATTGGGCTAGAAATTTTAGCTAGACATGGCAATCCTGTATGTTTCCTACATGTCGTTCAGTAAAAGCCATTCAGTAAAATGCTCAATTTCAACGGTAAGTGCACACTATGACTGAGAAGGTCATTGTTGCATTTGCAAATGAGTATTTCTCAACTGACCAACCTGAATAAATACATGTTTACTAAACAAACAGTTATGACGGTTTGGTGTTACCTTTCATGCCGTATTGCCAGCTCTCCGGGTGGTTTTTGCTCTCTCTCCTAGGGGACAGTGCTGCCTCCTTGCTCTCTGCATCCTTTGCTCCCTCCTCAGACCTCAACAACTGTCTCTCCGTCTTCCCAAACCTCTCGTCTAGCCTCTTGAGCTTCTCGGCGCAGGCGGCCAGTCTCTCCTCACGGGCGAGTCTCTCCTCCTCCTCCCTGCGACGGCGAGCTCTCTCAACTGCCTCCGAGAGTTCCGGTGACACAAACTTGGCCCGGGCTGGGCCCTGGGTCTGGCGCTCCTCCTGGTTGTCCAGGGGTTCACCCTGGTGGGCCATGCCCGGCCCGGAGCTCTTCTGCTGGGCCTGGAGACGGCACAGAGGAGGGTTTGGGTGTTAATATGGGGCCAGTGGGAGGACTTTCCATGACTACATTGGGTTCTGTGTACAATGGACTTACGCTTCGAACACACCGACTGCATCATTGCGTTTTGGTACACCAGAAGTACATTAATTTCCAATGGAATGCTGCGTTTGCCTTGCAGCATTGCGTTGCAGGCAGTTGCAGTGCGTTCTGTGTGGTGCATACGTTGGATTTATCAAACGTATGCTTCAAACTGTGTGCGTAAACAGGTTGACAGAAATGGTAGCAGAAGGTGAATGTTGAACCTTTGTTGCACATATATCTAGATGATGCTGCATACTATTTTGCGCAATGACGCAGTCGGTGTGTTCAAAGCATTAGGACACACATATATAAATGTGACTGGTGACTCAAGTGTTCTCTTCCTACAGGTGTATGTACTCTGTATGCTTTAATGCCTAAACATTAGTTAATCTTACTGTGATCTCTAGCATATCTCCATATGTGCTTCTGCATTTTTACCCTGGAGGTTGTAATTAAACATTCACTTTGTCATCACTACGGTAACGCCAAGGCGATTTGTTAAGTCTTATTTCAATCAAGGGTTATTGAGAATAGTCATTACATTTTACATTTTAGTCATTTAGCAGACGCTCTTATCCAGAGCGACTTACAGTTAGTGAGTGCAAACATTGTTTCAAGACTTTAAGACCACTGATAGGTGAAATGACTGGACAGGCTTCTGCCTTATTTCTTGAAACTCAAAACTTCAGAGATCAGCGGTATTGAAGAGGCTAGGGGGACCAGGCAAGGGTAGCAGTCTGAGGTATAGTGGACGCAGGTACGACCTTACCTGTGGTTCTCCAGAGGGGAACCTGCTGTTGGTCTTCCTGTGGGCCATCTGCTCCTGGTAGGCCTGGTAAGCTTCCTCCTCAGGACCCTCCTGGGGGTACGCCCCCTCTCCTGAGCTCAGCGACAACTGGTGCTCGCGACGCTGGTTCTCCCATTCAGCCCTGGGTCAGAGATAGAGCTCACAATCAGTCACTGCTACAAGGTCACTGCTCTTCAAAACTACAGAAATAACACCAACAATATTCTATTCAGTCACAAACACAAAGGGGGTGGGGGTAATTTCACCACATCTTGTTCTTTTCGGCGTGCTCCTCCTCATCGTCACTGAACTTGAGTTTCTCGCCATAATCCACTTCTTCATGGATACCTGGAACGGCAAGAGAGCAACATTTTTATCAAGGTCAATCTAGTTCAACTGGGGCACACGCACAGAAATGTTGCCTTTGGTGTATGTTGATGCGATAACAGAAAGCCCCCCCACCTGCCCAGCCGTCTTCACAGTCGTTGTCCAGCTCGTCCAGATCCTTCAGGTCCTCTGGGTTGATGATGGCAGGACGAGGGGGTCTGTCGCCGGGCCGACGGATGGGTCGGGAGGAGGGGTTGCGAGAGGGCCCACGGATGAAGCGGTTTTCTTCTCTCCTCACCTCGCCGCTACAAGGAGAATAGGAACATGGGGAGGTGAGAGGTCTGCGATTATTTTTGCTAAGTAAGCAAAATAATTCACAGAATCTTCAATTGTATTATCCATTTTAATCTTTCATTATTTTAACTGAGCATCGCTTCCAGACAGTAGGCATATGCAGGAGAATACTTACTTGACGGGCTCTTGGTTGTTGTTGGGGTAGGGCTGTCTGAAGGTGGGCCTGTTGTCAAAGCGAACTGGGGCGACCACAGTGACAGGGCCAGTGTGTTCAGCAGTGCCGGGAGCATCACAAGTCTCTTTGGGGCACATCTGAAAACCAATGGACAAAAAGCGTACAGTCAGAACAGAATCTTGCATTAAGATGTCATAAAGTGAAAATAAATGAAGAGTATTACTGTGCTACTTACGAAGGCAGGCAGCATGTCGTGGTAGGTGGTGGTGGTGGTAGGGTGGTGGAGCTGGTGATGGTTCAGGGCAGGGGGAGCGGGCCTGCGGAGTGGCTGGGCGGGGCGCAGGGAGGGCTCCTTGAGCTCCGGGACTGGAGGGGCGCTGACAACGGTGGCAGGGTTGGGACTGACCATGGGGGCAGAGAGGGCAGAGGAGGAGGCAGAGGGGGGAAGAGGTGGAGGGGGGCTCCCAGTCTCAGCCACGCCGCTGGCCTTGCCCTCGAAATCTGAGGGCAGGCCTGCCGGCAGGGATGAGGGCACAAGGTTCCTCCCACCACCCTCCCTCCAACTTGTCACATCTGGAAAGACAAGAAGAAAACGGATACATAACTATTCACCCCCCCAAAGTCAATACTTTGTAGAGCCACCTTTTGCAGCAATGACAGCTGCAAGTCTCTTGGGGTATGTCTCTATAAGCTTGGCACATCTAGCCACTGGGATTTTTGCCCATTCTTCAAGGCAAAACTGCTCCAGCTCCTTCAAGTTGGATGGGTTCCGCTGGTGTACAGCAATCTTTAAGTAATACCACAGATTCTCAATTGGATTGAGGTCTGGGCTTTGACTAGGGCATTCCAAGACATTTAAATGTTTCCCCTTAAAACCACTCAAGTGTTGCTTTAGCAGTATGCTTAGGGTCATTGTCCTGCTGGAAGGTGAACCTCCGTTCCAGTCTCAAATCTCTGGAAGACTGAAACAGGTTTCCCTCAAGAATTTCCCTGTATTTAGCGCCATCCATCATTCCTTCAATTCTGACCAGTTTCCTAGTCCCTGCCGATGAAAAACATCCCCACAGCATGATGCTGCCACCACGCTTCACTGTGGGGATGGTGTTCTCGAGGTGATGAGGTGTTGGGTTTGCGCCAGACATAGCGTTTTCCTTGATGGCCAAAAAGCTCAATTTTAGTCTCATCTGACCAGAGTACCTTCTTCCATATGTTTGGAGAGTCTCCCACATGGCTTTTGGCGAACACCAAACGTGTTTGCTTATTTTTTTCTTAAAGCAATGGCTTTTTTTTTCTGGCCACTCTTCCGTAAAGCCCAGCTCTGTGGAGTGTACGGCTTAAAGTGGTCCTATGGACAGATACTCCAATCTCCACTGTGGAGCTTTGCAGCTCCTTCAGGGTTATCTTTGGTCTCTTTGTTGCCTATCTGATTAATGCCCTCCTTGCCTGGTCCGTGAGTTTTGGTGGGCGGCCCTCTCTTGGCAGGTTTGTTGTGTTGCCATATTCTTTCCATTTTTTTTAAATAATGGATTTAATGGTGCTCCGTGGGATGTTCAAAGTTTCTGATATTTTTTTATAACCCAACCCTGATCTGTACCTCTCCACAACTTTGTCCCTGACCTGTTTGGAGAGCTCCTTGGTCTTCATGGTGCCGCTTGCTTGGTGGTGCCCCTTGCTTAGTGGTATTGCAGACTCTGGGGCCTTTCATAACAGGTGTATATATACACACACTAGATCATGAGACACTTAGATTGCACACAGATGGACTTTATTTAACTAATTATGTGACTTCTGAAGGTAATTGGTTGCACCAGATCTTATTTAGGGGCTTCATAGCAAAGGGGATGAATACATATGCACGCACCACTTTTCCGTTATTTAATTTTGAGACTTTTTCGAAACAAGTAATTTTTTTCATTTCACTTCACCAATTTTGACTATTTTGTGCATGTCCATTACATGAAATCCAAATAAAAATCCATTTCAATTACAGGCTGTAATGCAACAAAAGGGGGGGGGGAATACTTTTGCAAGGCACTGTAAGTCATATCAAATCAAATTTTAATTTGTCACATGCGCCAAATACAACAGGTGTAGACCTTACAGTGAAATGCTTACTTACAAGCCCTTAACCAACAATGCAGTTTTAAGAAAGAATACCAAAAAATATATACATATATATACACTATATAAAATAATACAAAATAAAAAAGTCACAAATAATTAAAGAGCAGCAGTAAAAATAACAATAGCGAGGCTATATACAGGGGGTAACAGTACCGAGACAATGTGCGGGGGCACCGGTTAGTCGAGGTAATATGTAGGTAGAGTTATTAAAGTGACTATGCATATATAATAAAACAGAGTTTCCGGATGGTGAAAGTTGTGAAATTGAAGTGTATTCCATTTTTTCAAGTATGTGCACAATATTTTCCCCATGGCACTTATTAGCAACTATGCTGTGAGGCTGCTACACTATTCATAATTTCAAAGCATGTGGGCTGCTTTTGAGTACATGTTTGTGCCACCACAGCTATAGTCACTGGACTCACTCTGGGGGCGGAGGCTTGGTCCGGGCCCATACGACGGATCGAAGGCGCTTCTTTCCTTGCCAGCCTTGTCCTGTTCCCCAGCAGCCTTCAGCGTTGGAAATTCCTCGTGAGAGAAGGGCTGCAGTCGGTTTGAGGCCCTTAAACCTGTCCATCGCCACGGAAACAAGAGGCACAGCTGTCAGTCAGAGCAGAGTCAAAAGAAATAGAGGCTGATGGAGAATCATGAGGTGTGGTGGAGACATGCAGTAAACTGACACGTCTGATAGCACATCCATCAATGTTGACCAAAGAGACAATGATTTTGAGCAGTCTGAGTTTTCCATTCCAACTCACCATCTAGTTCTACGGCCTTTCCATTTAGCTGGGCCCATTGCTTTGGTCCACCTGTGTTTGCGCTCTGTGGAAACAACAGAGGAAATTGTACTAATTTTTAAAAGATTTCAGTCTTGGAGGTGTGTTTCCTGACCGATTCCGCGTTTGGTTTGAAAGCCTATTTCACTTCCTTGAAATCTTTTTCAAAGGGATTTATTGCTTTTAAAAAGGCAGTCACGCATAGAAAAAACTATCCAATAAAAACAATAATCACAATTCAAAGTGAAACCGCAAGACGTAGAAGATAAAAAGTAAAAGGCCAAACTCACCTCCTGACTGGCTACCGGTGTGGGCTTCTGGAGATTGGAGACAGATTTCTGTAAAGCCAGCTGCGGCTGCAACTCCGGCAGCTGTGCTGTTGATGCAATGGAACTGAGCGAGGAGAGAGAGAAGGAACCGTCACTCTAGAGACAGACTAGATACATATACATCTTGGGCAAAGATACATCTTGATACAGACATGACATACTGTGCACAGTATCACTTTGGCACATTATAGAACTTGGACACTTGTAACCCAGCTATAAACTCTTGATGAATTTACCCCGGCCAAACAATGAAGAATTAGGAATAAAATAGTACTCCCACTCTGGTCTTTCTTGCTTACCAGGCAACATTACACAAAACTTTTCTGTTATCGAATGACTACATTTTAGTCATTGAGTCAGATGCTCTTATCCAGAGCGACTTACAGTAGTGAGAGCACACATTTTTCGTACTTTTCGTACTGGTGCCCCGTGGAAATCGAACCCACAGCCCTGGCATTGCAAGCGCCATGCTCTACCAACTGAGCCACATGGGACCACAGTGTGAGATGTGTCGTGCCTGCTATGCAAATAACACTAAATAAAAGGTAGCAATGTGAATGCTGATTTTATAAACGCCATATTTGGTGTTCATACAACATTGCCATATACTCATTGTATGTTAGCTCCTCTTCCTGCTCTCACTCCTCCAGACACCCCCACAGACTCACACACACTAAACAGAGTGGTCACTTACAACCAATCAACTCCCCACACACAGACAGTTCTACAGCCTGCACGTGAGCTAACCTTGAGGTAGCAAACACGAACGCCTCTCAAATCTGCGACACAAGGCTATGTTTCCCGCAGCTGCACATGGGGCTAATGCCTTGATCACACCTACAGTGTCATTGCGCAAAATGGATGCAGCATCATCTGGATGTGTGCAACAAAAGTTCAACATTCAACTTCTGCTACCATTTCTGTCAAGCCGTCTACGCATAAAGTTTCACATATACGTTCGATAAATCCAACATATGCACCACACAGAACGCACTGCAACTGCCTCTGCAACGCAATGCAGTCAAACGCAGCGTTCCACTGGAAATGAATGTACTTCTGGTGTACCAAAATGCAATGACGCTGTCGGTGTGATTGAGGCGAAGTGTTTGAACGCATCCATAAAGAAGCTCACACACGCAGACACACACACACTGCAGGAAAGTGTACAGGAACATAAACTTCAGCAAAGTGTGTACCAGGTGAAAAAATACCCTTTCCTTTGCTCACCAATGCCACTATCACCTATTCTTGCATCATCCAATGTCACCCATTGGTAGTGCAAAAGATGACTTGTTCCCTCAGAATACAAAACATATTGAATTCATGAAACATATTGTATCATGGCAATACATTAATCCAAGAGTGCATCTCAATAGTCTGTAGTGGCTTCCTTTCCTCATCTCCACTAATTAATCTGGAATGACCTGAAAAAACTGATTACGTGACAGAATTTACTGCACATCACTTGTCAGTTTTCAGATCAGTGAGGATGAGGGAGACGACACAAGAACTGACACTTTAGACTATTGAGATGCACCCCATGGGTCCTAAATCATTAGGCTGCTGTTTGACGACTTCCTTTTCTCCCTGGAACTTACAGTTGAAGTCAGAAGTTTACATACACCATAGCCAAATACATTTAAACTCAGTTTTTCACAATTCCTGACATTTAATCCTAGTAATAATTCCCTGTCTTAGGTCAGTTAGGATCACCACTTTATTTTAAGAATGTGAAATGTCAGAATAATAGTAGAGAATAATTTATTTCAGCTTTTAGTTATTTTATCACATTCCCAGTGGGTCAGAAGTTTACATACACTCAATTAGTATTTGGTAGCATTGCCTTTAAATTGTTTAACTTGGGTCAAACGTTTCAGGTAGCCTTCCACAAGCTTCCCACAATAAGTTGGGTGAATTTTGGCCCATTCCTCCTGACAGAGCTGGTGTAACTGAGTCAGGTTTGTAGGCCTCCTTGCTCGCACACGCTTTTTCAGTTCTGCCCACACATTTTCTATAGGATTGAGGTCAGGGCTTTGTGATGGCCACTCCAATACCTTGACTTTGTTGTCCTTAAGCCATTTTTCCACAACTTTGGAAGTATGCTTGGAGTCATTGTCCCCTGTAGCTCAGTTGGTAGAGCATGACGCTTGCAATGCCAGGGTTGTGGGTTCGTTTCTCACGGGGGGCCATTATGAAAATGTATGCACTCACTAACTGCAAGTCGCTCTGGATAAGAGCGTCTGCTAAATGACTAAAATGTAAATGTAAAAATGTCATTGTCCATTTGGAAGACCCATTTGCGACCAAGCTTTAACTTCCTGACTGATGTCTTGAGATGTTGCTTCAATATATCCACATAATTTTCCTTCCTCATGATGCCATCTATTTTCTGAAGTGCATCAGTCCCTCCTGCAGCAAAGCACCCCAACAGCATGATGCTGCCACCCCCGTGCTTCAAGGTTGGGATGGTGTTCTCTGGCTTGCAATTAACCCTCTTTTTCCTCCAAACATAACGATGGTCATTATGGCCAAACAGTTCTATTTTTGTTTCATCAGACCAGAGGACATTTCTTCAAAAAGTAAGATCTTTGTCCCCATGTGCAGTTGCAAACCTTAGTCTGGCTTTTTTATGGCGGTTTTGGAGCAGTGGCTTCTTCCTTGCTGAGAGGTCTTTCATGTTAGGTCGATATAGGACTCGTTTTTACTGTGGATATAGATATTTTTGTACCTGTTTCCTCCAGCATCTTCACAGGGTCCTTTGCTGTTGTTCTGGGATTGATTTGCACTTTTCGCACCAAAGTACGTTCATCTCTAGGAGACAGAACGTGTCTCCTTCCTGAGCGGTATGATGGCTGCGTGGTCCTATGGTGTTTATACTTGCGTACAATTTTTTGTACAGATGAACGTGGTACCTTCAGGCGTTTGGAAATTGCTCCCAAGGATGAACCAGACTTGTGGAGGTCTACAATTTTTTCTGAGGTCTTGGCTGATTTCTTTTGATTTTCCCATGATGTCAAGCAAAGAGGCACAGAGTTTGAAGGTAGGCCTTGAAATACATCCACAGGTACACCTCCAATTGACTCAAATGATGTCAATTAGCCTATCAGAAGCTTCTAAAGCCATGACATCATTTTCTGGAATTTTTCAAGCTGTTTAAAGGCACAGTCATCTTAGTGTATGTAAACTTCTGACCCACTGGAATTGTGATACAGTGAATTATAAGTGAAATAATCTGTCTGTAAACAATTGTTGGAAAAATTACTTGTGTCATGCACAAAGTAGATGTCCTAACCGACATGACAAAACTATAGATTGTTAACAAGAAATGTGTGGAGTGGTTGAAAAACGAGTTTTAATGACTCCAACCTAAGTGTATATAAACTTCCGACTTCAACTGTAATTGAATCAATCTTCAAGAAACAAAAAGAGGTAGGTGATGCATATAAATGCATTAATCTGTTATCCAGGCCACCTCTCCCAGTGTCCGTCCCGGGCTCTCTCACCTACCTCTTTTGATCGGGTTGTTCCTGCTTGTTTGCCCATCCTGTTCCGTCTTTGGGCACAATAATCACGCTGGGATCGTTTCCTTTGTTCTCCGACTTCAGGCTCGGCAGGTGAGCAGGTGGGGGCATGCGCCGGGCTGCGGCCACTTTGCCAAGACTCTGTAAGCCATGTCGTGGAACTGCTGGGAGGAAGAGGGGAGAAGTCAGAAGACGATGTGGAGAAAGAGGGGGAGTGAGGTGTGAATAAAGCTCTTTGCAAACTTTATGTATTGGTCAACCTTCAAGGGCCAATCAAATCCTTAAAGCCATGCACATATAAGTTGAACACAGAAGTACTTCAAATATAATGGACAATGACTTACCTGCGGTTTTCTGAGTTTCTATAGACTTTCCCTTGTACTTATCAAATAGGCTGAGTGAGGAATACTTGCTTTTTCCCATCCTTGGACTTGGTTATTTGCCCCAAACGATCGGACATTGCGATGTAATGTCATCGAGTATGAAAATGTTTCTATGCGCCTCTTCTTGTGCCTTCTTTTTCTGCAGAGAGAATAGAGGATACAATGTTATCTAACAAAGTACAGCAGCTTAGAATTGGAAAGGAATATTCAATCTATTCTACAATGTGGCGGAAATGTCAACATGCCAATCTTAATTCAATTTCCCAAATGCCAAACCAAACCAGTTGTAACCACAGACACAGCCAGGGTAACAGTGGACTCTTTCAGAGAGACAACTGCTCTAGAGAGCTGCTGCTGGGCTTTCAGGGTAAAGAGTAAACAACCATTCATAGATTGCACCTCCGTCACTTGGTCGTGTCATGCCATTGTTAGGAACGTTCTCAAGCCACCCTCCATCGGCGGCACCATAGTGGTGCCCTAAAGTGGTGATAAGCCCAGTCATTCTGGATGGAGGCTAACTACTGTTTAGTCTAAATTACACTATAGTGCCTGGAAATACGATGACATTGCTAAAGTAGTCAAATATTTAGTAGGAAACAACTTTGCCAGCATTATCATGTTGTCAAATTTACAGATGGCAATGCTGTCAATAGCTAGAAAAGTTCGTCAAAAATAGCTAGCAATGCTAACGTTGGCAAGATAAAATCCAGTGGCCTCACCCTAAATCTTAACTAGCTAGCTAGCTAGCTTACATTATACTGCATCTAAAGTAAATCTGGTGACATCAAAATGATGACAAAGGGTTTTCCTACTAATTATTTGCCTCCTTTTGAATGTCATTGTAATTGCCAAGCCAATATAATGCACTTTTGATGAAATCTTCATCAGCGCTCATTGATGATGCATTGAGTAGAATGCTCAGTTGGGCATCAGTCCAAAACAAACTTTCAAAATAAGATTGTGACGAAACACACAACCCATGAATAGAATTTTGGCAGCCACGCAATCTAGGCCTACTCATTAACAGACTTTAAATTAGAATTACTGGAGCAATTTTTTAACAAAACCCTACAAAAATGAATACCGGTAGGCCTGATTATACTGATCTGACTGAGGAACCAGACATTGATGCTACCACTTAGACATCTGAATAGAGTAGGCCTACATTAAAGCCGCTTCAGGATCCAGCCTTCAAATCAAAAGGTTGCCTGGGGGTATCTCCACTGAGTATTGAGTTTATTATTAGTAACAATAGTAGAAATAGTAGAATGGATGTTCCAATTCAAAGTGATAATCAGCCAATGGATGCATATTGCATAATCTCTCAGAAAGTGAATACAGTGCTCAGAGCACTGCATTTCTGCTGATACTGTACTTGCGTTGAATGGACAGTGCGGAAATATTTTAGGAAATTTGTCTGCTATACTCTTTGCTTTTCTACATAAAACCCATTGTGAGAATCCCGATATCCCTTCCTAGTCCATTCATGCAAACTGATACTGATTCACAAATGAACATGACAAAACCACAGATCACACAATCAAGCCAAAGCTGGGCCTTGTCAACCAGGCGAATATTCGGTTTATCTCCTGAGATTGCATTTTAAATACTAGCTATCTAGATAAAGATTTAATCTGTTCAACTGAAATCTCGTTATCAATGACATTCAATTGAATGACACGAACACTGCATCTGACTATTGCTAGAAGACTTTGAAATGCTACACAGTTTGACAGACATCCATCAACCAAATTGAGTCAACCATGCCAGTGATCCTTTCAATCTCAGCCATTGTAAATTTCAAGAGAGTCACTAGTTACGTCAATGTAGGCTCGCGAGCATACATCAGAGATACTGTATATAATGACGTAATGTTCTTGTCGCCACCCTAACAATGGGAGTCATTGTCCTAAAGGTGGGAAGGCAGGCGGTCTGCTTACTAGGTACAGATTTTGACGGGAGTGAACCCTCTCTCTTCCTCTCTGACATGCAGCTGGACATTCAATAGCTAGCCAAGCTAACTAGCCACAAGCTGTTGTTTGTACCCTGACGTTCTAGCTAACTACAGTGCCTTCAGAAAGTATTCACACCCCTTGTCTTTTTCCACATGTTGTTGTGTTACAGTCTGAATTTAAAATGAATTAAATTGAGATTGTGTCACTGAACTACACACAATACCCCATAATGTCAAAGTGGAATTATGTTGTTAATAAGTTGCATAGACTCACTGTGTGCAATAATAGTGTTTAACACTATTTTTTAATGACTACCTCATCTCTGTACCCCACACATACAAGGTCCCTCAGCTGAGCAGTGAATTCCAAACACAGATTCAACTATAAAGACCAGGGAGGTTTTCCAATGCCTCACAAAGAAGGCCACCCATGGTAGATTGGCAAAAAAAAAAGCAGACATTAAATGTCCCTTTAATTAATTGAACAAAGTCAAAGAACTACGAATCCTATATAGCCTATCCCACCTCGCGCTGCAACACTGCCTGGCTGGGAGCTGTGCGCACATGAAGATCTGAGTGAAATATTCATTTTTAGAAGCGAACAGGCATACAAGTTGATCTAATTTACTTGAAACTAAAGTCTACTTTAATCTACCTGCCACAGTGTCTGGTGGATCAAAAAGTCAAGCTGGTGTACAAAACCTAAAGTAAAAGACGCAAAAACAAAACTTAAGAACGGAAAGCATAGAAATAACACACATAGAACAGATCTACCACTTCTTAGACTTGCTTTAAATGAGAATGACAGACCTATAACTCCATTTCTATGTGAATTTTGGTCGGGTCACCAAATATGTGCATATTGCAGCTTTAAAATTGGTGTAAGTTCATAAATAAGCATACGCCCATTAAAACACCTGGTTTTCTGGGCAACCTTTCGAATTATTAGGACATGTAAACAGCTTAAATAGGAGTTCCAATGGTTTATTTGACCTGTGCATGTGGCAGCACCAGCAGCACCCTCTTATGCGCGATGTGTTTCAGAAAAACGACTCAGCTTAGAAAAAGTATGCGTCTTAGAAATAGTTTTCACATACAAACTTTTTATGTTCTTACTTAGAATCAAATAGCCTTCCCAAAAATAACATTGTTGCTGTGGTAGAACGCTTATTTTGATTGCCAATTTTCTGCATTTACCAAAGCATTCCAGGTGAAGCTGGTTGAGACCATGCCAAGAGTGTGCAAAGCTGTCATCAAGGTAAAGGGTGGCTACTTTGAAGAATCTAAAATCTAAAACATATTTTGATTTGTTTAACACTTTTTTGGTTACTATATGATTCCATGTGTGTTATTTCATAGTTTTGATGTCTTTACTATGATTCTACAATGTCGAAAATAGTAAAAATAAAGAAAAACCCTTGAATGAGTAGGTGTGTCCAAACTTTTGACTGGTACTGTATTTCCACAAATCTAACGTAGATTGATGATATTCCATCTAAAATAGTCTTTATGCAAATCTTTATTAAAAAAGTCAAGAGAAGAACAGCCTTTTGGTTGGCGGCAGTGCACTGTTAACTGGTAGGCATGTTTGGACTATTGGGGGAAAAGTCAGACCGCATCGGGAAGAACGGTTCAGGGGAACCCCTGGCGCTTCAGTCTCACTTTGTCCCAAAGGATTACGATGGCTACCAACAGTGGAAGAGTGGATTCACCATGAAGCTGAGGCTAGTAAAAACCAGTTCTGTGCCCACAGTCAATGTAGGCTCCAAGTCCACTGACACCCTAGGTGTTACAGGACGATAGCGGCGGCTTCGGGGATTGAGGCGAATCGGGTAAGTAGGTACTAAAGTGCCCAAAGAGTTAATAACATAACATGCCATTTAGCAGACGCTTTTATCCAAAGCGACTTACAGTCATGTGCGCATACATTTTTTGTGTATGGGTGGTCCCAGGGATCGAACCCACAACCTTGGCGTTACAAGCGCCATGCTCTACCAGCTGAGCTACATGTTGCTTGTAGATTACAAAAACTAAGATTGCTAAGTGACAGAGACAAAGTGGAGTAGCAATTTGACGGCTCAGACACGAGACGTATGTGGCAGGGTCTACAGACAATCACAGATTACAAAGGGAAAACCAGCCACGTCACGGACACCGACTTCTTGCTCCCGGACAAGCTAAACACCTTCTTCGCCCGCTTTGAGGATAACACAGTGCCACCGAACGCGGCCCACTCCCAAGGACTGTGGGCTCTTGTTCTTCGTGGCTGACGTGAGTAAGACATTTAAGCGTGTTAACTCTCGCAAGGCTGCCGGCCCAGACGGCATCCCTAGCCGCGTCCTCAGAGCACGCGCAGACCAGCTGGCTGGAGTGTTTACAGACGTATTAAATCTCTCCCTATCCCAGTCTGCTGTCCCCACTTGCTTCAAGATGTCCACCATTGTTCCTGTACCCAAGAAAGCAAAGGTAAATGAACTAAATAACTATCGCCCCGTAGCACTCACTTGTCATCATAAAGTGCTTTGAGAGGCTAGTTAAGGATCATATCACCTCTAACTTACCTGACACCCTAGACCCACCTCAATTTGCTTACCGCCCCAATAGATCCACAGACGCTGCAATCGCCATCGCACTGCCCTATCCCATCTGGACAAGAGGAATACACACATAAGAATGCTGTTCATTGACTATAGCTCAGCCTTCAACACCATAGTACCCTCCAAGCTCATCATTAAGCTCGGGGCCCTGGGTCTGAACCCCGCCCTGTGCAACTGGGTCCTGGACTTCCTGATGGGCCGCCCCCAGGTGGTGAAGGTAGGAAACAACACCTCCACTTCGTTGATCCTCAACACAGGGGCCCCACAAGGGTGCGTGCTCAGCCCCCTCCTGTACTCCCTGTTCACCCATGACTGCGTGGCCACGCACGCCTACAACTCAATCATCAAGTTTGCAGACGACACAACAGTAGTAGACCTGATTACAAACAATGACGAGACAGCCTACAGGGAGGAGGTGAGGGCCCTGGCGGAGTGGTGCCAGGAAAATAACTTCTCTCTCAATGTCAACAAAAAAACGAAGGAGCTGATCATGGACTTCAGGAAACAGCAGAGGGAGCACGCCCCTATCCACATTGACAGGACCGCAGTGGGGAAGGTGGAAAGCTTCCAGTTCCTCGCCGTACACATCACTGACAATCTGAAATGTTACACCCACACAGACAGTGAGGGTGGACCAATAGCGTCTCTTCAACCTCAGGAGGCAGAAGAAATTTGGCTTGGCCCCTAAGACCCTCACAAACTTTTACAGATGCACAATTTAGAGCATCCTGTCGGGCTGTAGCACCGCTTGGTACGGCAACTGCACCGCCCACAACCGCAGGGCTCTACAGAGGGTGGTGCGGTCTGCCCAACGTATCACCGGGGGGCACACTGCCTGCCTTCCAGGACACCTACAGCACCCGATGTCACAGGAAGGACAAAAAGATAATCAAGGACATCAACCACCCTAGCTACAATCTGTTCACCCCGCTATCATCCAGAAGGCGAGGTCAGTACAGGTGCATCAAAGCTGGGATCGAGAGACTGAAAAACAGCTTCTATCTCAAGGCCATCAGACTGTTAAATAGCGATCACTAGCCTGCTACCACCCAGTTACTCAACCTAGACATGGAATCACTGCCCACTTTAATAATGGAACACTAGTCACTTTAATAATGTTTACATACTGCTTTACTCATCTCATATGCATATACTGTATTCTATTCTACTGTATTTTAGTCAATACCACTCCGACATTGCTCGTCCGAACATTTATATATTTCTTAATTCCATTCTTTTACTTTTAGATGTGCGTATTGTTGTGAATTGTTAGATACTACTGCACTGTTGGAGCTAGGAACACAAGCATTTCGCAACACCCGCAATAACATCTGCTAAATATGTGTATGCGATCAATACAATTTGATTTGATTTTAAGTGCACCAGGCCATGCAAAACGAACTAAAGCGTTTGGAAAAGTGAAGTTAAGTGCTGTGTATTGATGCAGCGTTCAAAACAACTGGGAACTCGGAAAAATACGAGGTCAAATCATGACGTCAGTTCCCAGTTGTTTTGAACGCTGCATCACTCCTGTACTCTTCCCTTGACGTTACTTTTCCAACATGACTTCGGTGAAATTCGGATAAAATATAAATTTCCTTCAAAATACAAATGTAAAGTGATATGTCGTCTTGGGGCTTTTAGTTGGAAGGATGAAACCAATCAGAATGTTTAACAGCAACCTAATTCTGCAATCTTTCGCTTAAAGTCCCTTTAAAGTTTTCCAGTGCGTTTGTCGCAGTTATTTCTTGAAGCGCATCAGTTCTAGCGCGTTAATATTTATGGTAAAAAAAAGGATTAACAATAGCTAGCTAAATTAGTCACTCTTAGCACTCAACTATTTTAAAGGTGGATCCAAATAATCATCAGCAAACAAACGGTTCAAAGAAAACAAAACCCCCAAATAAAACTAACACCGCTTTCTAGCTACCACCAAGGCATAATTAAAATGGCAGTTTGCCGTGATGTTAGCCAGCTATTTTATAAGGATGCTAGCTAGTTAACGTTAGCTAATATTATTGCAAAACGTGGTTGATGCTCGCTACACAATACATATTGGCTTATGTCTTTCAATTACAATATTAGTTAAAACAGCGGGAATTAGACATGTTGATAGTCAAATCATAACGTACTATCGCTGGTCAAATGTTGTAGTGGCAAACAGGGGCGAGCTAACTAGCTAGCCATCACAGTATGTAAACATTGCGTTGTTTATGTATGCGAGTTCGTGAAAAACAACTGTGACACATTGGCATTTATCCTTAATCATACCAACAATTTATTTCGTATTGATATATCTCATAGTTTAGTTAAAATAACAACATTGAGACCATACTGATTTAGCTAGATGTCAAGTTAGCTACCCTAACAACTAACGTTAGCTTGCTAAGATTGTGAGATGGCAAATCAGCTGAAGTTCCTGTCTTGTTTTCCAAAAACAAATCCCCAGAAAATGTATACATTTGGCATTTGAGACTAGAACACGTAGCTATAATGAAAATCCTTGCCCTTGAGGTGACAGTACAAGCGAGAACAAAGTATTTAAGCAATTTTCCAGATTTCAGGACCACGGAAGGCGGAGATAAATATATTGGACAAGATGATTAAAAATGGCTGCTGCCCAGAACAAAGCAACAATAAAACTGGGCAGTCGGAGAACTCCATGCAAAAACATACACATAACTCCAAATACATTAATAACTCACCGATTTTACTTGTTAGTATTTCTTGTGATCAACAATGGCGATTTAATTCCTAAATAATACGTTTCTTCAAAGGATGGCTGGCGATTGTGCTGCCGATTCTTAATCTATTTTGCCGTTTACTTGTGTTGTTGGTGGGCAACCTACCCGGCCTGAAAATGAAAGTCCTTGCTCTAGTCGACTGGTGTGGCTGTATACGGATATGACGTTCAAAATGGAGCAGTGACCCCTGGTGTCCTTTTTAGAACATTACATATCAGTTAAAGTGAGTTGTATGAACCGGTACCTTAACCAACAATGCAGTTTTAAGAAAGAATACAAAAAAAATCACAACGAAATAAAAGTAACAAATAATTCAAGAGCAGCAGTAAAAATAACAATAGCGAGGCTCTATATACAGGGGGTACCAGTACCGAGTCAATGTGCGGGGGAACCGGTTAGTCGAGGTAATTGAGGTAATATGTACAGTTGAAGTCTGAAGTTTACATACACCTTAGCCAAATACATTTAAACTCAGTTTTTCGCAATTCCTGACATTTAATCCTAGTAAAAAATTCCCTGTCTTAGGTCAGTTAGGATCACCACATTATTTTAAGAATGTGAAATGTCAGAATACTAGTAGAGAGAATGATTTATTTAAGCTTTTAGTTCTTTCATCACATTCCCAGTGGGTCAGAAGTTTACATACACTCAATTAGTATTTGGTAGCATTGCCTTTCAATTGTTTAACTTGGGTCAAACGTTTCGGGTAGCCTTCCACAAGCTTCCCACAATAAGTTGGGTGAATTTTGGCCCATTCCTCCTGACAGAGCTGGTGTAACTGAGTCAGGTTTGTAGGCCTCGTTGCTTGCACACGCTTTTTCAGTTCTGCCCACACATTTTCTATAGGATTGAGGTCAGGGCTTTGTGATGGCCACTCCAATACCTTGACTTTGTTGTCCTTAAGCCATTTTGCCACAACTTTAGAAGTATGCTTGGGGTCATTATCAATTTGGAAGACCCATTTGCGACCAAGCTTTAACTTCCTTCCTGACTGATGTCTTGAGATGTTGCTTCAATATATCCACATAATTTTCCTTCCTCATGATGCCATCTATTTTGTGAAGTGCACCAGTCCCTCCTGCAGCAAAGCACCCCAACAGCATGATGCTGCCACCCCCTTGCTTCATGGTTGGGATGGTGTTCTTTGGCTTGCAATTAACCCTATTTTTCCTCCAAACATAACGATGGTCATTATGGCCAAACAGTTCTATTTTTGTTTCATCAGACCAGAGGACATTTCTCCAAAAAGTACGATCTTTGTCCCCATGTGCAGTCGCAAACCGCAGTCTGGCCTTTTTATGGTGGTTTTGGAGCAGTGGCTTCTTCCTTGCTGAGCGGCCTTTCAGGTTATGTCAATATAGGACTAGTTTTATTGTGGATATAGATACTTTTGTACCTGTTTCCTCCAGCATCTTCACAAGGTCCTTTGCTGTTGTTCTGGGATTGATTTGCACTTTTCGCACCAAAGCACGTTATTCTCTAGGATACAGAATGCGTCTCCTTCCTGAGCGGTATGACGGCTGCGTGGTCCCATGGTGTTTATACTTGCGTACTATTGTTTGTACAGATGAATGTGGTACCTTCAGGCGTTTGGAAATTGCTCCCTAGAATGTACCAGACTTGTGGATGTCTACAATTATTTTCTGAGGTCTTGGCTAATTTCTTTTGATTTTCCCATGATGTCAAGCAAAGAGGCACTGAGTTTGAAGGTAGGCCTTGAAATACATCCACAGGTACACCTCCAATTTGCTAAAATTATGTCAATTAGCCTATCAGAAGCTCCTATAGCCATGACATTATTTTCTGGAATTTCCAAGCTGTTTAAAGGCACAGTCAATTTAGTGAATGTAAACTTCTGACCCACTGGAATTGTGATACTGTGAATTATAAGTGAAATAATCTGTCTGTAAACAATTGTTGGAAAAATTACTTGTGTCATGTACAATGTAGATGTCCTAACCGACTTGCCAAAACTATAGTTTGTTAACAAGAAATGTGTGTAGTGGTTGAAAAACAAGTTTTAATGACTCCAACCTAAGTTGATGAAATCTTGCGACTTGTGACGGCCGGCCGCCCAACAACCTGCCCGCTTGACCCTATCCCCTCCTTTCTTCTCCAGACCATTTCCGGAGACCTTCTCCCTTACCTCACCTCGCTCATCTACAGACCAGTATCCCTTCTTTCTTTTCTCTCAAAAACTCTTGAGCGTGCCGTCTCTAGCCAACTCTCCTGCTATCTCTCTCAGAATGACCTTCTTGATCCAAACCAGTCAGGTTTCAAGACTGGTCATTCAACTGAGACTGCTCTTCTCTGTGTCACGGAGGCTCTCCGCACTGCTAAAGCTAACTCGCTCTCCTCTGCTCTTATCCTTCTAGACCTATCTGCTGCCTTTGATACTGTGAACCATCAGATCCTCCTCTCCACACTCTCCGAGTTGGGCATCTGCTGCTCACTCTTGGATTGCGTCCTACCTGACAGGTCGTTCCTACCAGGTGGCGTGATGAGAATCTGTCTCTGCACCACGTGCTCTCACCACTGGTGTCCCCCAGGGCTCAGTTCTAGGCCCTCTCCTATTCTCTCTATACACCAAGTCACTTGGCTCTGTCATATCCTCACATGGTCTCTCCTATCATTGCTACGCAGATGACACACAATTCATTTTCTCCTTTCCCCCTTCTGATAACCAGGTGGCGAATCGCATCTCTGCATGTCTGGCAGACATATCAGTGTGGATGTCGGATCACCACCTCAAGCTGAACCTCGGCAAGACGGAGCTGCTCTTCCTCCCGGGGAAGGACGGCCCGCTACATGATCTCGCCATCACGGTTGACAACTCCATTGTGTCCTCCTCCCAGAGTGCAAAGAACCTTGGCGTGACCCTGGACAACACCCTGTCATTCTCCGCTAACATCAAAGCAGTGACCCGATCCTGCAGGTTCATGCTCTACAACATTCGTAGAGTACGACCCTACCTTACACAGAAAGCGGCACAGGTCCTAATCCAGGCACTTGTCATCTCCCGTCTGGATTACTGCAACTCGCTGTTGGCTGGGCTCCCTACCTGTGCCATTAAACCCCTACAACTTAACCAGAACCCTGCAGCCCGTCTGGTGTTCAACCTTCCCAAGTTCTCTCATGTCACCCTGCTCCTCCACACACTCCACTGGCTTCCAGTTGAGGCTCGCATCTACTACAAGACCATGGTGCCTACGGAGCTGTGAGGGGAACGGCACCTCCTTACCTTCAGGCTCTGATCAGACCATACACCCAAACGAGGGCACTACGTTCATCCACCTCTGGCCTGCTAGCTCCCCTACCTCTACGGAAGCACAGTTCCCGCTCAGCCCAGTCAAAGCTATTCACTGCTCTGGTACCCCAATGGTGGAACAAGCTCCCCCACGATGCCAGGACAGCGGAGTCACTGACCACCTTCCGGACACACATGAAAACCTACCTCTTTAAGGAATACCTGGAATAGTATAAAAGTAATCCTCCCCCCCCCCCCCCCCCCCCAGTGGTTGTCCCATTGGGTATCATAAGTTGAATGCACCAATTTGTAAGTCGCTCTGGATAAGAGCGTCTGCTAAATGACGTAAATGTAAAATGTAAAAATGTAACTTCCGACTTCAACTGTACATGTAGGTAGGTTTAGTCAGTACTTTGTTGAAGCACCTTTGGCAGCGATTACAGCATTGAGTCTTCTTGGGTATTACACTACAAGCTTGGCACACCTGCATTTGTGGAGTTTCGCCCATTCTTCTCTGCAGATCCTCTCAAGCTCTGTCAGGTTGGATGGGGAGTGTTGCTGCACAGCTATTTTCAGGTCTCTCCAGAGATGTTCGTCGGGTTCAAGTCCAGGCTCTGGCTGGGCCACTCAAGAATATTCAGAGACTTGTCCCGAAGCCACTCCTGCATGGTCTTGGCTGTGTGCTTAGGGTTGTTGACCTGTTGGAAGGTGAATCTTCGCCCCAGTCTGAGGGCATGAGCGCTTTGGAGCAGGTTTTCATCAAGGATCTCGCTCCGTTCATCTTTACCTCGATCCTGACTAGTCTCCCAGTCCCTGCCACTGAAAAATATCCCCACAGCATGATGCTGCCACCACCATGCTTCACCGAAGGGATGGGCCAGGTTTCCTCCAGACGTGACGCTTGGCATTCAGGCCAAATAGTTCAATCTTGGTTTCATTAGACCAGATAATCTTGTTTCTCATGGTCTGAGAGTCTTTAGGTGCCTTTTGGCAAACTCCAAGCGGGCTGTCATATGCCTTTTACTGAGGAGTGACTTCCGTCTGGCCACTCTACCATAAAGGCCTGATTGGTGGAGTGCTGCAGAGATGGTTGTCCTTCTGGAAGGTTCTCCCATCTCCACAGAGGAACTCCAGAGCTCTGTCAGAGTGGACCATCGAGTTCTTGGTCACATCCCTGACCAAGGCCCTTCTCCCACGATTGCTCAGTTTGGCCGGCTCTAGGAAGACTCTTGCTGGTTCCAAACTTCTTCCATTTAAGAATAATGGATGCCACTGTGTTCTTGGGGACCTTCAATGCTGCATACCTTTTTTGGTACCCTTGCACAGATCTGTTCCTCAACACAATCCTGTGTCTGAGCTCTACTGACAATTCCTTCGACCTCATGGCTTGGTTTTTGCTCTGACATGCACTGTCAACTGTGGGACCTTATATAGACAGGTGTGTGCCTTTCCAAATCATGTCCAATCAATTGAATTTACCACAGGTGGACTCCTATCAAGTTGTAGAAACATCTCAAGGATGATCAATGGAAACAGGATGCACCGGAGCTCAATTTCGAGTCTCATAGCAAAGGGTCTGTATACTCATGTAAATAAGGTATTTCTGTTTTTATATTTAATACATTTGCAAAAATTTCAAAAAACCTGTTTTCACTTTGTCATCATGGGGTATTGTGTGTAGATTGCTGAGAAAAAAATTATATTGAATCCATTTTAGAATAAGGCTGTAATGTAACAAAATGTGGAAAAAGTCAAGGGGTCTGAATACCTTCCGAAGGCACTGTATTTGGTTATATTCAAGGTACAGTAATATCACATTTGTGATTGGTTTCCCCTTGGGTTCTTCTCCAAGTCTTTTTATTTTGTATGATTTGGTGTTGAATAAGATGAGAGCTTCTTGCA